TTGGCTTCCCCCCTGACGCGCCAGGGTGGCAGTTCTACCACCCCACCTCGCGCCGTGTTCTGTCCTCCCAGGACGTCACGTTTGACGAGTCGGGCCCCTACTACCGTCTCTTCCCCTACCGCACTCCGTCCCTCCCCCCGCCACCGCTCTTCCTTGTACCAGGTCCCCCCCCGGTAGACCCCCTCCCCCCTCAGGGTCCTGCCCCTTCAGGTGTGTCCCAGGTAGACGAAGTCGAGCCTGTCAAGGTTACTTGTGACTCTGGTGCTGCTGAGGGTGCTGAGCCTGGGGGTGCTGACTCTGGGGGTGCTGAGCGTGTGGGTGCTGCGCCTGGGGGTGCTGAGCCTGCGGGTGCTACTACTGGGGGTGCTGGGTCTGGGGGTGCTGCGACTGGGGGTGCTGAGCCTGGGGGTGCTGAGCCTGGGGGTGCTGCGACTGGGGGTGCTGAGCCTGGGGGTGTTGAGCCTGGGGGTGCTACGCCTGGAGGTGCTGAGCCTGGAGGTGCGGAGCCTGAGGGAGTTGGGCCTACTTGTGTGGCGTCTGGCGGTGCTGGACCTGGAGGTTCTCCGGGTGCTTCCTCTCGAAGGGAGCCCCTCTCTCCACAGGAGCTGTGTGAGTGGTTTGCCCGGCACTGGAGGCATGCTGCTGGAGCTGGAGGTTCTCCGGCTGCTGAGGGTGCTGGTGCCGCGGGTCCCGGAGGTGCTCGTGGTGGGAGTACTGGAGCTGCTGGGCCTGTGGGTACGACTGGAGGTGGAGCTGCTGAGGGTGTTGGCGCTGAGGCTACTGCTGTCGGTCCTGGAGGCGGTCCTGCTGGGGTTGCTACTGGTGCTGCTGGAGGTACTGGAGCTGGAGGTGCTCCTGGCGCTGGTGCTGCTGCAGGGGGTGCTGGTGCTGTCCCTGCTGTGTCAGAAGTCGCCGCGCGGCCTCGGCCGTACTTCGTTCCGCTCCTTCAGCAGGTTCTTGGTCTCCCGCCTTCTACTGGTCCTCCTCCTCCATTAGAGTGTCCACAGCCTGTCCCGTCAGAGTTACAGTTACAGCCGTCCTCCCCACTGCCTGCTCCTTCTCCCTACATTGGTCCTACTAGAGGTCTTGCTGAGCGTCGTGAGCCTGCGTCTCGCCCTGCGTCGCCTGTCCGTGCTGCTCGCCCTAGTTGTCGTGGTTCGCGTCAGCGCCCTCCTCCTATCCCTGGCACGCACCGGATGTCTCTCCGTCCGTCCACTGCTCCTCTGCGTGCCCCTTTGCCTGCTCCTCCTGAGTCCTCTTTCCCTGCTCTTGCCGACCCGGAGTCGGACTCTCTTCTTGCTGCGAGTCCTACGCTCATGCGTCTCCTTGCTACTGTCGTCACTGACCCTTCCTTTGAGTCCTCTGCTGCGTCTGCCCTAGTTGCTGAGCTCGTCGACTTTGCTGCTCGCTATCGTCTAGACTACGCTGCTAGTCTTGTTGCTGAGTCTGAGTCTGTCTGTCCTCCGTCCGTCGGGGGTGAGTGTGCTCTTGGCACGGACGTCCTTGAGGACAGGCAGGAGGAGTTCCAGTGTCTGGCTGCTGCTTCACCTCATCTCGTGTCCGTACTGCTTACCCCTGAGGGAGACCCGGATGCACTTGACATCCCGACTCCGCGCTCTATCGCGCAGGTCGTAGAGGGTCCCTACTCCTCTAAGTGGCAGGCAGCTATGGATGCAGAGATGGCTTCCTGGAAGTCCACAGGCACCTACGTTGAGGAGGTTCCCCCGCCTGGGGCGAACATCGTCAGTGGCATGTGGATTTTCAGGGTGAAGCGGCCGCTGGGTTCTCCGCCTGTCTTCAAGGCGCGTTACGTGGCTCGTGGCTTCAGTCAGCGGCAGGGAGTTGACTACTTTCAGACCTTCTCTCCCACCCCGAAGATGACCACTCTCCGGGTACTGCTGCACATAGCTACTCACCGTGACTACGAGCTTCACTCTCTTGACTTCAGCACAGCTTTCTTGCAGGGCAGCCTGCACGAGGAGATCTGGCTGCGCCGCCCACCTGGCTTCACTGGGTCTTTTCCCCCTGGCACCCACTGGAGCCTCCGGCGGCCAGTCTACGGTCTCCGCCAGGCACCGCGTGAGTGGCACGACACACTGAGGACTACACTTGCGGCTCTTGGGTTTGCTCCCTCTACTGCCGACCCGTCGCTGTTTCTGCGCACCGACACCTCTTTGCCGCCGTTCTACATCCTCGTGTACGTCGACGACTTGGTCTTTGCCACAGCTGACACTGCTGGACTCGCCCACGTGAAGTCTGAGCTGCAGAAGAGACACACGTGCACAGACTTGGGTGAACTGCGCAGCTACCTTGGCTTGCAGATCACCCGGGACAGAGCACAGCGCACCATTACCCTGACTCAGTCACACATGGTGCGGCAGGTCCTTCAGCGCTTCGGCTTCACGTACTCCTCGCCTCAGGCCACTCCTCTGCCTACTCGCCACTCGCTCTCAGCTCTGCCTTCAGATGAGTCCGTAGAGTCGAGTGGCCCGTACCCAGAGCTTGTTGGCTGCCTCATGTACCTGATGACCTGCACTCGACCTGACCTTGCATACCCTCTTAGCATTCTCGCACGCTATGTTGCTCCTGGGAGACACAGACCGGAGCATATGGCTGCAGCGAAGAGGGTGTTGCGCTACTTGTGCAGTACGTCGGGCATGGGGCTTGTGCTTGGAGGGCAGAGTCCAGTGGTCCTCAGTGGGCACGCAGACGCTTCTTGGGCTGACGACCAGGCTACGCAGCGGTCGTCACAGGGTTACAACGTCAGCCTTGGTTCCGGCTCTGTTTCGTGGCGGGCTACCCGCTCGTCTTCTGTTCTCGGCTCCAGTTGCTCATGAGCTGCAGCAGCGTGGTTAGCAGCGTCTTGCGTACGTGGCCTCTGAGACCAACACTGCTGATATCTTCACCAAGGCGCTTGCGCCTTGTGATCATCAGCGCTTCTGTACTCAGCTGGGTCTTGTGCCTGCCTTGCCTCACTTGCTCACCTCTTGACCTTGCCTGTACTGTTACATATATATATACACCTGCTCTTGCTTGTCTAGCCTTTTATATATATATGTACTCCTGCATGTGAACTGGCCTTGTGGCCTTGACCTTGTGCTCGGATTGTGTGGTGACTTTGTGATCCACCCTGAGCTTGCTTTGCTTTGCTTTGCATGACTGGTCTTGTGACCCCTTGTACTCCCCCACTTTGCCTATGGGGGTGTGTCAGAACATTATAGCTTATGCTTTTGTGTAGGCTGTAGTAGGGTAGCCCATATGGGGTACAACCCAATTAGGGTTAGTACTTGTACCCAACTCTTTCACAGTGCATTCATTCTCGTTCTAGTTTTTCTCAACTCCAATGTCACCCAATGATCTCTCTTAGATCAGGAATGGTACTTGGTCGACTGAGGAAGGTGTTGCAGCTGATGTCAAGGTGTACCAGAGTCTCATTGGCAGCTTGATGTATGCTGCGATGACCACCCGTCCTGACATGTCTTTCACTGTCAACACCCTTGCACAGTCCTGCGTGGCACCAAGACGCATTCACATGCGCGCTGCACTGAGAGCACTCAGGTACTTGGTCGACACAGCTGATCGTGTCATAAGGTATGAGCGCCAAGGTGGTGAGCAGGTTGTTGGGTACACAGACTCGGATTGGGGTGGTGAGAATGATGGCAAAAGTCGCTCTGCCTACATCTTTAAGCTGGGAGGAGGATAAATCAGCTGGTATAACAAAAAGCAAGACAGTGTTGCAGCAAGCGTTTCTGAAGCTGAGTACAAAGCTCTATCGGAGGGGGCCAAGGAGGCCATTTGGTTGAGGAGTTTGTTGGCAGAGATGCATGTGGGGGATGGGGGGGCTATTCCATTATTCTGTGATAATGAGGCTGATGTCTCCCTTGCCCTCAATCCCGTTCTCCATCAGCGCACCAAGCACATTAAGGTGGCATGGCACTTTGTACGGGATGCGTGCGCCAGCACGAGGTCGAGGTGCACTCAGTACGCTCCCACCTCCAGGATGCCGACATGCCCACCGAAGCTCTTCCAAGCTTGCAACTGCATGAGAACTTGGAGCGCATCGGCATGCGAGTGATGGCTGCGAAGGCCAAGACTTCATTCGCGGGAGGGGTTGTGTTTTGATTTATGGGTGAATTGTAATGCTTGTTGGAGCAAAGGGGGGTGTTGGAATTAAGGTTGATTCGGGTTGCTCCAATAAACATATGTAGTGATACATCTACACTATTGTAGTGTAGAATACATTGGTTGGGTTGGGAGAGCTTGTGGTGTACACTCTATAGAGTAGACTACCTCCCAAACCCTATAGGTTAGGGTTCTCTCTTGTTGGAACTTTACTTCTTGGAAACCACTTTGGTTCTAGCATGGTTCATGCCCAAGTGGGCTCCTAAGATTCATAGGCTTTAGGAGGAGGTTCTAAGACTACTAAAGCTTCTGTTAGTAGCTTAGTCCATTCTAACATCGAACCCATCAGGACGCACGAGCTGGCGGAGAAAAGCTGCCCGGGGCAAAAAAACTATTTCCCATCGCGACCTGCATGCCCTTCGGGAGCCTCAACCCTGAATTTTTTGGGTTGATGCCTCCCGAACCGCATGCCTTCCGAGTGGGTTTTAGTTTTTTTTTTTTTTCGTGCCCGCGGGCAGATTGCGAAAGCGATCCCGCAATCGCCCGTGTTTTACAGTTCGAGCGCGTATGAACCTTTGAAAAGGTTCCGAGAGGTAACAGTGCCCAGACTCTCTTCTGTTGGCGCAAAATGAAAGAACATCTCATGCTTCTTGTACTGCCATGCATCTATTGATGTCACACACGTTGTGAGTTTTTTTTTCGCTCTACAAACGGTACCATTCTCCCACAACAAATCTCAAAGCTTTTTGCAACGAATCAACATGGGAAGTAAAATACACATCTAATTCCTTCGAGCAATATTCTTCCTCAGCAACATCATATACTGTAGAATGAACACCCAACAGAAAAAATCCACAAATCAGGCACATGTGAATCGTCTAGCCATGTGCCACGTCAGCAGCACACTCGTGCCACGGGCCAACCACAGCATGCCAGCACACATTCGGGGGAGCAGATGCCGCAAGCACTTGCATGACTGCCGCCCGTGCATGCTTGTTCCACGCCCTCACCATGGCTGTGAGTGTGAGAGGGCCCTTGGCAGCGCGCATGGCCCTGGTAAACCGGCCCATGGCGTCTTGAACCACGGCGGATCTGTGGTGGGCAGGAGGAGGGATGGGAACAACGGGAGTGGGGAATGTATAAGCGCTCATCTCACGTCTGTGCTATGGGTGTGAACTTGAGAGAGCCCTTGGCAGCTCGCATGGCTCGGGTAGAGCAGAGACGCATTGAACCACGGGTGATCTGTGGTGGGCAGGAAGATGGGAAGGATGGGAGGAATGGGAATAATGGGAAGAATGAGAAAAACGTGAGTAAAAAGAATGAGGTTATGTGCTTGTTCAATACTGTGGCCGTGGTTGTCCGCTTTAGGGGGCACAGCAAGGAACAGATGACTTCCCCCCCACGGAATGGTCCAATACACAGCTCCAAGGGAAACAACATCCTGACCTTACTAATCCTCTTGGCGAGTGACAGGGAAGGGGGAAGGGGCGAGGCGGGGAGAAGGTTGGAAGTGGGATAAGAGTGATGGAGGATGGGCGAGGTTCGGATGGTGTTAAGACAAGGGGTGGGCATGAAGTGTGTTGATCAATGTTCAAACTGAATGGAGACACCTGGGAAACACTGGGGACTACTTGAAACCACTGGGAACCACTAGGCACTGTATGGAGGCGGAGGGAGAACATGGGTTGGTGTAGCAAAGAACAAGAGACATGAGCATGGCACTGGCAGAGCAGAGCAGAGCAGTTGACAGGAGCAGAGCAGCAGGCAAGGATGGCAGAGCACCTGGCGTGTGGGTGGGCTTGGAAGGGCCATGGCTGGGGCGAGCAGTGCGGGTAGGAGCCGGGGACGAGCAGGCGGAGGGGAGGGAAGGGAACGCCCACCTGTGGGGTGGAGGCATTGCAGGGCCGCAGAGGGAATAGCGGGATGGAGACGGGGGGAAGAGCGATGCATATTAGCTGGTGACTAAGGAGGTGGTCCGGAAAAGAATTCGGAATTCGTTCATTAACGACAACAAGGCTGAGTTGATGTTGTCATTACGGGGCTTTTGTGAAGGCAAAGCATGCGTGGTCATTATGTGTGAGTTGTGAGACACCTCGAACAAATTTAAAGCGCACGGCTTGGAAAACTATCAAAATGTGAGAAATATATTTTGTGCACACACGGCTTGCGCACACACACACAACAGAGCAGGCCGCTCCCACGTCGGACGCATGTGCACAGCCAGAGGGGATGTCAGAGTGAAACAATTCTAAGGTGCCTCATAATTTGTCCCTTTTTAAGAGGTGTGCGTATGGGGGGAATATCAAAGTGCTGCAGCATTGAAAGCGCCATCCTTACCCAGGGCTGTTGAGGCACCCCAAATCAGAGCAGCAGCAATGCACACAAGTTGTTTAGGAAAAGGAAATGGGGGGCCGTGGATTTCAAAGTGCACGAGTCTTCAGGAGCCTCAAAACTCGTCTCGATTAGACGAGATGAGGTGAGTTTACATGAGGTGGCATGACATGAGATGATGGGTGCATGTGCACACCGAGGGGATGTCAAAGTGCAGCAGCACTGCCACGCCATCCTTGCCCACTCCTCCTCTTCCTCCCACTCCTCCTCCTCCTCCTCCTCCTCCTCCTCCTCCTCCTCCTCTTCCTCCTCCTCTTCCTTCTCTTCCTCCTCTGTGTCTTCCTCATACAATCCCCACGTCCTCTCTTCCCCCACCTCCCCACCTCCCACAGCACCACCGCTACTCCCGCCCTGCCCTTCCCCATGGCCACCAGCAGCACTTAAAGCCACTCTCACGTGCGCCCCTGTGGCGGCATGCACAGCGCTGCTGGTGACGGTGCCCTCATGGTCCACCACACTTGCCGTCACCGATACCACCCACCTGCTGCCCCACCCACTACCTGCACTTGCACTGCCAGCACCTGTAGCACCAGCAGGAGCAAAGGCAGCATCAGCACCAATGCCAGTAGCGGCAGCAGCAAGGGGACTCGACCCTTGCCCATGCGGCCCAGACCCCCCCGGGTGTTGCTGCTGGGACTGGGACGCTGATAGCACGGGAATCTCCCTTGGGACCTCCCTACCCCCTGGGGACCAAGAGGAGGAAGCTGCCGGGAAGGTGAGGGAGTTGAGGGCCATCCAGTCAGCGAGCAGGCGTGAGCTGGCGGTTGCTGATAGGTCCTCGCCCAGCGTGCCTCTGGAGCCGGCGAGCGGTGCTGACGTGGCTAGTCGGTCGGAGCATGCGAGCACGGCTTGCTTGTGGGCGGCTGCTACGAGCAGATCGCGGCGGTCATTGGCCAATGAGGCGTCCATCTGACACGGGTTCACACGGGGGGCGCGTGAGGGGGACACAGCAGAGCAGAGCATGTTACGTATGAGAGGGTGATTGTTGAAGGAGGGTACAGGCGCAAGAGCTGGCATGTGGGCGGCTGCTACAAGAAGATTCCAGCGATGCCTCGCTAATAACGCATCCATCTGACAGGTGGTGACTATAAGAGGGGTGGGGTATTGAAAGGAAGGGGTGATTGTAAGGGGGACACAGAGGCGGCTGGGGGATATTGTAAGGGGCACACAGGAGGGGGTGAGTGTAAGGAGGTGATCGTTGGGCAACGAAGCATCCTTCTGTTGGGGCGTGATGATTGTAAGAGGGGGCACATCATTTGAAATGCCTCAACATTGTAAGGGGGGGCACAGGAGAAGAGCTGGCATGAGGGCGAGTGCATGATGTAGATCGCGGGGATCGTTGGCCAGTGCTGCTGCAAGTGAGAGGACCACAGCTGGGTTGCCAGTGGACACTAGACTTGTGTACGACACAGACACACGGTGGAACGGACTGAGTGAAAGCGCTGGCCGAGTTGAAAGCGTTGGCCGAGTTGAAAGCTCCGCAGCGGCGGATGAGCCGTGCTGACGAACCAAGCCATCAGCGGAGGCTGTTGCTCATGCCCACACCCATCCAAACACCACCCACTCACCACTCGGAAGAGTCTCGCCTCAGGCTACTCCTCCCTTTCCTCTGCCGTCTATTGAGGCGCCTCAACAGGAGGCTTTTGAGACAGTTATTCAGGCGCCTAGGAGAACATGGCCACATCACACCCATGGAAACACCACCCACTCACCACTCGGCAAAGTCTAGCCATAGGATCCTCCTCCTCCCTCTCCTCCACCGCCTTTGCACCCCCCTCCCCACCCTCCGCTTTCACCTCCATCACACCCTTAGCCACACCTTCCCTAGCCTCACCCTCCCCGGCTAAGCCCGGCGCCCCTGACGTCTTGCTGGTGTCGGGCTCATAGAGGCCCGACGAGGGGGGGCGATGAAGGCCGATGCTGCTGCGTACGGTGCCGCACTGCCCGACAGAGAAGAGGGCTCGTCCGCTGCCCCTCCTGCTCCAGCTTCTGCTTTTGCATTTGCGCCGGGTGCTGCTCCAGGTGCTGCTACAGGTGGGGGGGGGTGACCCTGGCTTGTATTGTCGCTGCTGCTGGTTGTGCTCGGCCCCAACTAGCCCCCCTTGCTGCGCCTGCTGCTGCTGCTGAGGTGGGGTGTGCCCTGCCAGGACATCAGCATCCGGGTCGGATTTGATCTGCTGCAAGGGATGGGGATGGGACGGCCCACCTGGTAAAGGCATTGTTCTTGTGACCACTCCTTCCAGCGCTGCTGCTGCAACCTTGCTCCCCTCCATCTGCCCTGCTGCTGCTGCTGCTGGTGCTGGTGCTGCTGCTGCTGCTGCTGCTACCGGTGCCGCTGCTCCGCTACTTGCACCGGCTTCCTCGGCCTTCTGTTGCTGCACTGGATGCTGCGCTTGCTGCTACTGCTGCTGCTGCTGCTGCTGCTGCTGTGGCGCCTGCTGTTGATGCTGATGCTGTGGCAGTTGCTGTGGCGGCGGCGGCTGCTGCTTGGTCTGCAGCGGCTGCTGCTGACTCTGAATAGGGGCTGGGCTCTGCACTCGCCCCTGCTGCTGCCCCTGCTGCTGCCCCTGCAGCTGCACCTGATGTGGCTGCGAAGGGTGCTGACGTGGCAAGGCCTGATGCTGCATACCCCCAGGTAATGCGCCCTGCTGCTGCTGCCCCATCTGACCAGGAACCAGGCAAACAGACCCACTCATACTGAGAGGCACACCTTGCTGCTGTTGCTGCTGCTGTTGCTGTTGCTGTCGCTGTTGCTGTTGCTGTTGCTGCTGCTGTAGCTGTTGCTGCTGCTGCTCTTGCTGTTGCTGCTGCTATTGCTGTTGCTGCTGCGGTGGCTGCTGTTGCTGTTGCTGTTGCTATTGCTGTTGCTGTTGCTGTTGCTGTTGCTGTTGCTGCTGTTGTTGTTGTTGCTAGTGCTGAAGCTGCTGCTGCTGCTGTTGTTGTTGCTGCTGTTGCTGTTGCTGCTGTTGCTGCTGCTGCTGCTGCTGCTGCTGCTGCTGCTGCTGCTGCTGCTGCTGCTGCTGGTGCTGCTGGTGCTGGTGCTGCTGCTGCTGCTGCTGCTGCTGCTGCTGCTGCTGCTGCTGTTGCTGTTGCTGTTGCTGTTGCTGCTGCTGCTGTTGCTGTTGCTACTGCTGCTGCTGCTGCTGCTGCTGCTGCTGCTGTTGTTGCTGCTGCTGCTGCTGCTGCTGCTGCTGTTGCTGCTGCTGCTACTGCTGCTGCTGCTGCTGTTGCTGTTGCTGCTGCTGAGGGGGGCGCCGTTTCTTGAAGGTTTCAAGAATTTGAATGATCTGCCTCTCGAGTTGCTCGACCTTCTCAATCGTGAACTGAGGGGGCACTTTGTCTCGAGGCACACTCAGATAAGGAATGATTCGATACAAGATGTCCTTGTAGTGCTTCAGTCGCTCCTACTGCTCCGGTACCATCTTCTGAAGCTGCAAAAAAGAAGAAAAAAACGCTGTGTGAGTTGTAGCAGTGTAACAAGCGAAAAGGAAGTGCACGGATAAGTCGATTCGATAGGCTTACCAGCAAGAGATTTTTCGGAAACAGGCGCCGTAGGAAACCTAACTGTAGACGGAAGGCATGGAAACTAAGCGCAAAGCAACGAGTTGCCTCTCTGCCTCAGCGGCTCGTCTCCTCTCTTGTCGTGTCATGTGGCCTCGTTGACCCACCTGCTGGCTCTTCATGACGAGGAAGCTGTGGATCTCCTTCATGTCCTTCAGGTAGCTCGCCTTTATGCCTTGCAGCTGCCCCGCACCACCGCACAAGCGCGGCGCGGAGAGGAGCGGAGGGGAGAGGAGGGGAGGGGAGTGGAGGGGAGTGAACGGAATAAACACAACAGCAACAACCACAAAGTATGCATGGCAAACATCCAACTACAATGCAGGTGAAACAACATAGAGTAGTCACGGAAGCAACACAACAGCGGGCAGCAAGACAACGAGCAGTCAGGCTGCGGAGGCACGGAAAAAGGAGGAAGAGGAAAAAGGGGGGAGAGGGGAGGAAGAGGGAAAGGGGGGGGAACGGGAGGAAGAGGGACAAGGAGGAGACGGGAGGAAGAGGGACAAAGGGGGAGACGGGAGGAAGAGGGAAGAGGGGGGAGAGGGGGGAAAGAGGGAAAAAGGGGGAGAGGGGAGGAAGAGGGAAAAGGGGGAGTGGGGAAAAAGCAGGAAACGCATGGATGGGGAACGGAGGGGAAGAGGCGCACCTTTTGCCACACGGTGTCTGATATCCCCCCCTGCTGTGCCCCTGCTGCCTGCAGACCCGCCTGCTGCTGTTGCTGCATCGCCCCTGCCTGGGCTTGTATGCCCTGCTGCTGCTGTGCTGCCTGATGCGGAGGCTGCTGGATTGGCTGCTGCACCTGCTGCTGCATTGCCTGCATTGGCTGGCTCTGTTGTTGGGACTGCATCGGCTGCTGTTGCTGGCCCATCTGCCCTCCTATTGCCTGCTGCACAGGCAGCTGCTGGTGTGGCTGCTGCTGTGGCTGCTGCTGCATCGGCATGCCCTGCTGCTGCAACACCACGGGCACTGGACTTGGGCTGTGCTGCATTCTCTGCACCTGCGGCCCTCCAAACTGCTGCTGCTGCGGCTGCTGGAGAGGCATGGGATGAGTGCGGTTCATAAGCCCACTAGGCTGCGGCGCCATGCTGCTAGGACCCTGCTGCTGCACCTGCTGCGGCTGCATCTGCCCTCCCAGCTGCTGCTGCTGCTGCTGCTGTTGCTGCGGCTGTTGCTGTTGGTGCAATGCAACTGGCTGCTGCTGTTGCTGCTGCCACAACTGCTGCTGCTGCATCAGTAGCATCCGCTGCTGCTGCTGCTGCTGTTGCCCTGGCTGTCCTCCAACCACTTGTATGGGACCACCCCCTTGCACCTGACCACTACCCCCCATGGACAGGTTACTCTGAGGGAGCTGCCTCACCGCCCCAGGTGCCCCCATGCCGGACCCAGGTTGCAGTGGCGCGGCCATCCCCCCTGGGCCTGTGAGAGAACTGATGGGAGGCATGGCGCCTGCCTGCCTGCTGCTGCTGCCCCATCATCATTGCCCCTCCCGCCCGCATTGCCTGCTGCTGCTGCTGCTGGGAATAGCTCATGTTGGATGGAAATGAAGGGGGGAGGGAGGTACAGGATGAATGAAGGGGGGAGGGAGGTACAGGATGAATGAAGGGGGAGGGAGGTACAGGATGAATGAAGGGGGGAGGGAGGTACAGGATGAATGAAGGGGGGAGGGAGGTACAGGATGAATGAAGGGGGGAGGGAGGTACAGGATGAATGAAGGGGGGAGAGAGAGGTACAGGATGAATGAAGGGGGGAGGGAGGTACAGGATGAATGAAAGGGGGAGGGCGGTACAGGATGAATGAAGGGGGGAGGGAGGTACAGGATGAATGAAGGGGGGAGGGAGGTACAGGATGAATGAAGGGGGGAGGGAGGTACAGGATGAACGAAGGGGAGAGGGAGGTACAGGATGAATGAACTATATGGACGTAGTGGCTGTGTTGTGTGTGGCGCATGTAAGCGGTGGGTGTGATGCGTGTGAAGAGTGCGAGTAACGCACCAAGGAATCATTGCAATCCGAGTGATGCGAGTAATACAAGGAACAACACAATACGATTGTCATGCATATAAGGAGTAACTGTGACTGTGGTGCATGTAATACATGTTTCTCATACATGCCTTCTGTGGAACGAATCTACGTGACCGCGATCGCGATTGGCGTTTTCAACACTCGGAAATCGCTTGTCCAGTCCAGGCAGGCAAAACAAAATCCAGGGCAGTGAGGAACCATGTGACTAGGTTTCGATGGATGGTGGAGGGCGATCTTCATTCTAGGGTGGAAGGCTGGAAATGAAGAGTGCGAACCTGTAGGGTTTGCTCGTTGAATACCGAACAAAAAAAAACACCACATGCACTCTTCATAGTCATATCCATCACATTCATTCCTACATGCACCACACACACACACATCCTTACATGCATCACACACACACACATCCTGACATGCACCACCCACATCCACGCTCCTTACATGCATCGGCCGTCATCCCGCCAGTGGCAACGGACCCTGCAGACGCCTGCGAGCTCGTCCCACCGGCTGCCTGCGCCTGCAGTATGTGGCCCTTGCTCTTGATGTAGAGCATCTTCTGGGATATGCGCCACAGGTAGTCGTCCTGAGGCTCGAGGGGGAAAAGAGAAGAAAAGAAGGTTCTATCTGACATGAGCCAGGACAGCAAGTCGAGACTCGTGATCGCCCAGCAGCAGGCAAGAGATGAATGGTAACACCTGATTGCTAGCACCTGCCTAATTGGTAGCCGCTGAGAGAATGTTCTGCTGAAATGACATTTGAGTAGAGCAAACAACGTTGATTGCTCGCACCTGATTGCTCGCCGTTGCCTGCTCGCACCTGATTGGTGGCCGTTGCCTGCTCGCACCTGATCGGTAGCCATTGCCTGCTCGCACCTGATCGGTAGCCATTGCCTGCTCGCACCTGATTGGTGGCCGTTACCTGCTCGCACCTGATTGGTGGCCGTTGCCTGCTCGCACCTGATTGGTGGCCGTTGAGAAGATCTTCTGCTCGAAGGATGCCGCCACGCGGTGCAGCTCGTTCATGTCGGGCGCTGATGTGAACTTATGTAGACTCTCCATTCTGTGACACGTGGTAGGGCGGGAGGGAGACAGAGCGGGAGAAGGGAGGGAGACGGGAGAGGGAGAGAGTGAGGGAGAAGGAGAGGGAGAGGTAGTGGGAGAGGGAGAGGGAGAAGGAGAGGGAGAGGGAGAGGGAGAGGGAGGAGAGGGAGAGGGAGAGAGGAGGGCGAGAGGGGAGAGGGTGAGGGGGGAGGAGAGGGGAGAGGGAGAGGGGTAAGGAGAGGGGAGAGGGGTAAAGAGAGGCGAGAGGGGAGAGGAAGAGGGAGAAAAACTTCAAAGAGAAATCGATGGAGGCCCGGCTGCAGCAAACGATGACATCATAGTAAAATAGGAAACACAAATCTACTATCATGACATCACCAGATTGCACCAATAGAGAATCACGGAATGGATTAAAGAAAATATCACTGAAAATTGAGGGTACTAAGGCTTAACAATCTCGTTTCAACAACAGCGAGCCAGTGAGTGACGCACATTCGCTTCACTAAAATCTGCCGCTTCTCCCGCGGAAGCCGTGTGCGCCAGTCGGGCTCCGCCGGTGCTGCCTGCGGGCGCATGCCTCTGCCACCGCCGCCGCCGCTC